CTCCTTATTCGCCGGCTTTAGCTCCGTGTGACTTCTTCCTCTTCCCAAAGATGAAAATTCAGCTAAAGGGAAGGAGATTTGAGACGATAGAAGAGATTCAGGCAGAATCGCAGATGGTACTTGACAGGCTGACAAAGAAAGATTTCCAGGGATGCTTCCAGGCTTGGCAGCGACGCTGGGATCGTTGTGTTCACTCCCAGGGGAACTACTTCGAGGGTGATGGATGAATTTAATACCTAAGATAAGTGTACGGGTTTTTATATGCGCAGTCTTGAAACTTTCCGATCGCACCTGAGACCTGAAGATTCTACAATACGGTGTTGCAGAAAATGCAAAGCCTCGGCGCATTTGTTGTGAGTGAAATACACTAGAGATACTGCGGATTGGTCATAAACAGTGTAAAACAGAAAAGAACTTCCTCACTCTACTATAACTAAGAACGCTGAGGCCTATATAATATAAGGCTTTTGGAGCATAGCAGGTGTCATATGTTGCTGTCCTTCGCAGGTTACCTGGAGCAGGGACTTCTGGAGAGGGACACCCAGAAGCTGAGAAGGCACTACCTGAGGTCTAAGAAATGGCGCTCAGACGTGCTGAGTCTCCTACCGACGGACCTCACATACATTTGGTGGCCACCCGCCACCTGCCAGATCCGTGTTCCCTGTCCCGTCATCGTGAGATTCAACCGTCTCCTTCGCTTCCCACGTATGAGTGAATTCTTCGACCGCACTGAGACCCGAACCGGATACCCCAACGTATTTCGTATATGCAAGGTAAGTCTTTCTTGGAATTAATATTGTCTTTGAAAAATTTTAATACTTCCGCCAAAAAAGCATGGCTTGCTGAACAATGCCAGACAATATCTGCTGTATATTCTAATAAATCTGACTTCAGGTCAGATGAGGTAGGTTATAATACATTACATTAGGTAAGCTTACGTTTGGTTACGCGTGGTTAGGCTAGACTAATCGAGGTTACGTAAGGTTATGTTACGTACGGTTTACTTTAGGTTAAGTTGGCTCAGGTTAGTTCAGTTTAGTTCAATTCTCTTCAGTTTAGTTTGGTTTACTTTGGGATACCTACGTTTATATCTGTTTTTTTCTGTATACTTCAATGTATTTGAATGTATTTCAGTTTAGTTCACTTTACTTTAGCAACTTCAGCCAAAGTTAATGTTCCCGATTATGTTAATTGCGTATTTTTGTTAGTGTTGCGAAACATATTTAACAAGAAGAGTTAAAAAAGATGAAAGCGATATAAGCTATGCTTAGTCCATGACTTTAACCAAAACATTTCTGTCAAAATACACAATAAATAGCTTGATAATTTGTACTCTTCGTCAAACATTACGGTGATTAACTCAAACAGGTTGAAATGGCAGAAAAGTGACACACATAATATAGATTAGAAATAAATACGAACTTCAACAGGAAAAACAGAAGAAAAAACACAAATCTGGATACCTGTGCACAGATGGGAAGATAAAATTGATTTCAGAGATCTAAAAAGCACATAACTGTTAGAGTCTTATCTCCAAGAAAATAAATCATCTCTATTATAAACATCGACAAAAGACGTTTAAGAAAAGGGTCACTATTTGCGTAAGAACCAAGTCAAACAATTACGTATTTGTGTAAATTATCAAACCGAATAATGTTAAATCAGGTAACGTAGATAGTGGCCACTAAAATTTGAGAGATGTGTGTGCAGGTAGTGCTGGCGATCCTGGTGTTAATCCACTGGAACGCATGTTTCTACTTCGCAATCAGCTATGCCATAGGGTTTGGGTCGGACAACTGGGTGTACAACATCAGTGGAGGACGCAACAGCACGCTGTCCAGACAGTACATTTACAGCTTCTATTGGTCTACACTTACCCTCACCACCATAGGTAAAAAAAAAGGAATTTAAGAAACTTTTAGTGTATTTCAAAACTGGGATTGGAGGTAAATGCGATAATAAAAAAATATGAGCCTTCCCTCATTTTTACCAATCTGGTTTTCTTTGTCTTTTAAGCAACTGTATATATTGATAAAATACGCCACGGAGAAGCAGTGATCTGTAATACGATGTTTGTGCTTAGGGTATACAAAATTGTCAAACATGCGAACAAATATGTTTTCAGTTGTGACAATGACTACACTAATTAGACGAAAGTAGGGTTGATGGGGGAACACTCAAAAGAGAACAGACACGTGTTATTGATGATATTCATTTTGTGCGCCACCGATTATTACACCAATTTATCAGGGACACCTGACGAAAATGCATCTCTTATGAGCAATGTCTTGGCAAGAAACTATGCAATAATGTTTAAGGCAGCCCGAAAACACTTGATTTGTATGGAATCAGAACACTTTCAAACTACTGAAACAATGCATTGAAACGCAAGGTGATAACGTAAAAATGAAGATATGTCGAACCACTTTGCGAATGCCTTTTAGTTTGACACACCTTCATATGAAGAGATTATTATTCAAGTACGTCTGTCCTATAGAATGTTGCTCCGTGTAGACTCGCAGATAATGACAGACGTTTCAGGGGAGCATACGAACTCAATCATCAGGGTTAGTAAGCTCCTTTCAGACGTCGGTCAGTATCTACCACATTACATGGTGTACCATCCCAGACGACAACCATCATACTCGGCGCCGTGAGAATCTCAAATATCAACTAGAAAATCATTATTTCAAAACAAATTTTGTGTACCGTACTACACTGTAATCAATGCGCTATACTGTTGATCAAGAAGAACGGAGTGTACTCACCATGCGGTGTGTTGGTAGGAGAGACGCCCCAACCGGAGAACGACGCGGAGTACTTGTTTGTGGTGGCAGACTTCCTGGCCGGGGTGCTCATCTTTGCTACGATCGTCGGTAATATCGGCAGTATGATCAGTAACATGAATGTGGCGAGGGTCGAGTTCCAGAACCGTATGGACGGAGTTAAACAGTATATGGCGTTCCGGCGTGTCTCCAGGGAACTGGAAGCCCGTGTCATTCGCTGGTTCTCCTACACATGGGCCAACAAACAGGTACGGAGTACTTCGCACATCACTGGAATAAAAATGCAGTATGTTCGAGGATTTTGTGATAATTTTCAGGGATATTAAATAAATCGTATGCAGATAGTCTGAACATACATTAAAGATTGCCAGCTGGTTAAACCATTGGTTCTCAATGAAGAGTTTTCCAAGGTCACGTTCTATTTTAGGCAATATATTATTAACTATTAAGGTTATTATTTTCAAGACGGGAACCAGTGTTTTATAACAACTGACTGTTTTAAACTAAAACAAATATCTTCGTCGTACACGGTCTTACTTAAGCAGTAGAAAGCATTAAACTGGTCAAGAAAGTCCCCGTTCTTATAAATTCCGAAAGTTGACCAAATTATTAAAAGCTTGCTCATTGGAATTGGAGAACAGACCTGGAGCACTGAGTCAGTTCAGTCTAGTTCATGTTCTGCTTCTCTGCCATTTATTTTAATACGATCCTCCCCTTTACGCCCAGACCTTCAAAGTGGTCTCTTCCTTTTAAGTGTCTATGCCAAACATGTTTCCATGTTATATTCTCCATTTCACCAGTGCTACATGCCTCATAAATTAACACCTCTCAGTTTAATCATCACCAACAATACTCCGCGAAGCATACAAATTATAAAACATTTCTCGTGCATGTTCTAATATACTGTGAGCTTCCGACATTGGACGAGTAAAAATCATAGCCCCTTAATTACATAGTTCAAGTAAGGGATGCAGACAGAAACTAGTATGGAAATGTTCACGCCGATAGAGATTAAAAATTATTGGTTTGTCGTTTGCATACGTCTTGTTGATACTAGTTCTCATTAACTGCAGACACAAATATACTACTTTAAAGTTTCACAATGCAGATACCACATTGCATATAGTAAAAAAATATTTTTTCTCTTTTTATGTTTAACTTATCGATCCAAATAAACGATTTAAATAAAAATTTAGAGCTTAATGTGATACACACAGTATTTAATGTCACGTTGTCTATTAATTTTATATACGACAAGGCGTTTTTGAGAGAGTCGATAAAGTTCGATATCATCTTCCTTCTTGAGTAGGTAAAAGTTGCTCAGTTAGTCAAGATATTCCCCGTCTTTTATGAAACCCGAAGGTAGACACCATTACCAAATTTAACCGAAATCTATCGATCAATTTCCGAGACGTGGCATGAGGGCAAAGGGACGGGTGGATATGACTTCACAGCAAATATGTTAATTGTTCAGTATTCCACAGGCACTGGACGAGGAACGCGTATTGGCCGCGTTGCCTGACAAACTGAAGGCTGAGATAGCAATTCATGTGCACTTGGATACCTTGCGGCAAGTTCGCATCTTCCAGGACTGCGAGCCCGGGCTCCTGGAGGAACTAGTACTAAAGCTTCGCCTGCAGGTAAGACAGCCCGCATAGCAGGTACAATGCACGTTTGGAACGTAATTTTATTTATTTGCTATGTAGAATATTGTTAACGGGGATGAACCATTTGTGGTACTATCTTTTGGAAATCGCAATGAAAGTACAAAATTTATAGTTGAATGTGAAAACTTCAAAACTGAAGCCGGATTCCTACCAAATGCACCAATACAAAGCCGACCGCCTGACCCCAGATTCCAGACTGCTGCCAAACACACACACCACCAGACCCCAACACAGCCTCGTTTGCATTTCCTGCTACCAGAGTCGCGATCGTCAGAACCAACTCTAATTTTTCCCGCATCACATCGCAGACAAGCGTGACGGACATTGGCTATGAATTGGGAAGGGTTTATAACAAAGCGATGTGTCCTACTAAAAAAGTTTCCTGCCTCTCAAAATGTGATTGGAGAGGCAGAGAGAAAAAGCGGAAAATAATTATAGCCGGTCTCCGAACCCAGAATTAAACCGGGGACCTCCTGAGTACGAAGGGGTGCTAACTATCGAACCGCGACATTAGATTAACAGTTCATTACAAGGCTCAAATAAGCTTATACTTTCCTTTCTTAGAGTCCAGGAGGCCTATAGCTATCAAGTGAGAGCACGATAGATTTATTTCACACATCAAGCAGCAAATACAAACTAGAAGGATCAAGATTTATAAGCGAGATATCTCCTGCGTATCACTGAAAGAGATTAATACAGGCGAGACAACGGACGGTGCCAAATATATTTGCGATGTTTTATGAGGAATGTCAAAATTCTTGTATCTGTGCAACTTTTCCAGGTTTTCAGTCCAGGAGACTACATCTGTCGGAAGGGGGACGTGGGACGGGAGATGTACATCGTGAAGCGAGGACGGCTGAGCGTGGTGGCGGACGACGGGCAGACTGTCTTGGCCACCCTGGGGGCGGGATCCGTGTTTGGGGAGGTGAGTGTGCTGGAGATCGCGGGCAACAAGACAGGCAATCGCAGGACAGCAAATGTCCGGTCGCTCGGCTACTCGGATCTGTTCTGCTTGTCGAAGCGAGATCTCTGGGACGCGCTGTTCGACTACCCGGAGGCTAAGCACAGCCTCATGGAGCGAGGCTGCCAGTTGCTCAGGAAGGACGGTCTTCTGGACGAACAGGCCTTTACGAAGGCGCAGGTGGAACACGAGAATCTCACCGACAAAGTGGACCGCCTCGGTATGTACAACAGATATGTGAATTTATTGGAAAAATGCTCTGATACATATAATACAAAATGAAAACGAGTGTAGCATACATCTAATTTAAAAATAAAGAAAATGGTTAACGCAGAAACAGAATTATTTCCTTCAACGAAAAATGGCTTAAATATTCTATTCACATAAATTTGTTCTTCATGGAAATTATCTGAGATAAAGCATTCCTGTCACAAATGAAAAAGCCATCAGTGAAATTAATTCACAGGTAAATAATATTAAATATATAATGAACAAAACATTGTCTTAATTATTTTAGAGTATTTACATCAAGTATAAAGGTGCATCGTAAGCACAGTTTTCTGCGTTATTAAAGTCGTGAAACGGTGCCCGCCTGCACTGTCTCAGATTTAGATGCAAGCTGATGATTGCAGAGAACACACTGGAAAACCTGCAGACCCGGTTCGCACGTCTGCTGGCGGAATGCTCGAGCCACCAGGCGAAGGTGAAACAGAGGCTGACGAGAGTCGAGCAACACACCCTGAGGACGGAGGAGAAGCGGCGGGCGACAACTGGGTGAGTGCACAGTGTTCGAATGTGTTCGATGGGAATAAGTTAAGTGTATTCATGAGCATCTGATATGACCCAGAGCGAGATCATCTTCCAGCGTACACATGAATCAACTAGATAACGAATAACCCGACTTTAATTAAATTTAATAATGGAGAATTTTACAAAAACCTCTCTAACTATTTTCAGTTATATTGGACAGCTTTAACGACCACTTTAGATGATAAATATTCTTTTTGTCTATCTCGAATACTTCCGATTTACGTACATTTAGTCGGCGCAAACAACTGAGTTATTCAATAATGTTTTATCTACACAGTCTTTCCCTCGAAGCGCTTCAGCCCACAGTCACTTCCAAATAGTACCCCTCCCCCATCCGAGTGAAAGTAATCGTCTACTCCCGGCTTACATGGAATGCGCTAAAAAAATAATCCGAATTGGTTAATATACAGGGGAGTGTAGGCCTATACGCTTTCGGGAGATCAATCGGATATTCGAACGGTTCATCGTAATACAATCAGCATCAAATAAAATGAAACCGTCCTCGTAGGTGTAATATTTCACTTCACGAAACATGTAAGTTCATTGTTCTCATAAAATTATACACACAACGAAACAAAGAGCGATATTCAAACACAGGGGAAATGTTTAGATGTACCTAAATCGAATTATTTTGCAAGAGTACTGAATATGGTTGTAAAAACTACAAAGTAATTGCTTTCGTTTTCCATTTTTAGAGGAATTTCGAGCCAGGACAGCGGTGGCGACAGCTCCCAGCTGACTGAGAAGGTGGACCTAAGCAGATCCATGCGCAGATCCTTCCAGGGCGTGTCAAGAATACGAAGGCATAAACAAAATACTATGTGAAGCGTCTGTGTAGAACTTTTTAAAAACGGCCTATTGAGAAAGAGGATTCAAGCCAGTTCTATCTTATCACTATCATCTATCGCATACAGTGGTTCTGGAGTGTTATTATTAAGCAGAAGTGATATAAAGGTTTAATTAAAACAATTAAAATAGAGGAAATTGTGTTATATACAACTATGACATAATTTATATACAGTTGTATACATCCCGTGTGATACCATCGGGTTGAGTTTTGTGTCTGCCTCGAATTCAGAGTGTAAGAAGATGTGTGTGTTTGATGTTTGCCGTCCACAGAGGCAGCCGACAATGAAACGCTTTGAGAATTAAGAGGAAAACTGAATTAACTCGCTTGACGATAATGACAAATATACACTATGAAAGTTTTGCATCCCAATCAAAATATGTGTTTAATTACTATTACATAGGTGCTATAACCCACTCCAAGCCTTTTATTTTCTAAAGAATTTTTCTGTTATATCTTTGAACTTTATTTAACAGTTGGTAGGACTTCTTGGACCAGAAGGTTGTCCCATTGCAAGGTCTCTACCTACACAAGAGAGTGAATAAAACATAAACAAGGCAGGAACACTCATCCATATCTGATGTAGGATTCGAACCACGATCCCACTGATCGAATGGCCTAAGCCGAGATTAAGGATTTTCTTTTCTTATTTAGCTATCATCGAACTAAGAGCCAACTACGCTTGCTAATTAGCTAGAAACTGCAAAATCTTTTACACAGTTGGTACGACATTTTGCAAGCGTGGCCTGGAGGGGGGGGGGGGAAATACATAACAAAGGTTCTACCTATATGGGTCAGCACGATACAGAATTTGAATCAATTTTGAGGTAAAACTTAATTTTAAATTTAGGTTTTCTGTGTTGTTATTCTGGGCTGTGACACTGTATCGACTCGTATACCTACGAGTCCACATGGCATCTCAGTCCAGCTGAGAAAACTCCAAACCTCATAATTTAGAGCTTATTTGAATTTCTGTCAGATTAGTTGGACGGAATTATCTGGTATTCGAATGGTGTTAGACCTTAAGGAAAATGTGATTGGAATGTTGGATTTTGATATCAGATATTTAAATTGCCAACAATTACTTATGACAGATATAAGTCTTAAAAAAAGCTGGCCCTTACAGCTTCTCAGGATTTATTTACGATAAAATACACGATAGAAATAACATACAGGCTAAACATTTTAGATGTACTGCCTTCAGACTTTGAATCTAAAAGTAATTAAAACTGATCAAAGCAATTAGTAATTATTATGACTTACTTCTATAGTTTTCACTGGATATCTGTTTCAATTATCTGATCACAAATCGTAGCCTACCAATGTTTATAACTCTGTAAAACAGCAAGTAAAAGACCGGAAAACATACTTTTGCACACAAGGCTTGAAACCCGCCACGCCATCTTTTACTGCAGTTGAGTACCAACACGACAAACCTAACGGAGCGAGATTTAAAATTATTCGAGACATTAGGCCTACATTTGTCAACAACACAGGAGTAAAATTTTATCAAGCTACGTCATTTTGGGCTAGTTTCCCCTAACTCTAAACATTACATTTTTCATATTGTCGTATTCCCAACAACCTTATCTATATTCATCGTCACAAATTCCATAGAACAGAATCATTCTTACGAATTTGATAGTAAACTCTGCTATTTAAGAAATATCATTACACATGAGTCGGTCTATAAGAAAAATGCGACTTCTGTTATGTGTTTTTAAATTCCAATTTTACTGTCCCAAAGGAACTGAAAGCGAGTTAATTCTTTCTTCCACCTAACTCTCGACATAATATAGGCCTATACCTGGAGCAAAAAGATTACATTTTTGAGTTGGCATGGAATACACATATAGTTATTTGTACGGAGGAAGGGTTGTTTGTAGCTCTGTGCTGATACTATATTTGAGAGTTTTGACATTTGCTTCTACAGCGAAATGTCTTCATGTGCACGGACTGTCAACATGCTGATTATATTCTGAGCGCATACATGCACGAGAGTAATATAAAGAAACCATATAAAAGATCACTATCTCCTATAACCAATTATAATCTTTGTATCGGCTCTTGCAAGTAACAGTGGCGTATACCAAACGGTCTGTCAGCATTTTTAAAGACACTTCGAGATAGAGTCATGAGTTAGCACCCACAGATATTACAAATTCTGTAAAAGTTGCCTGGGTGGGAATCCCGACGTGACTTTTCCGTCTGCATTTGGAATATCATAAAGGACAGTCGGAGAGAACACTTGAATAGAACAAAAATGGTTTAATAAATTTCTCATAAGAAACACATCTTGTTTAACCTTAAAAAAGCGCTATAAGGTGTTTACAAATATGTGCGGATTGTTTTGTTTTCTGAAACGAAAGTAGAAAACAGAAATTGAAGAGATAAATTCAGTCAGACCTAATTATCAGATTTCGAAAACACTATGTTCGGGTCAACCTTCCAGATTTTTTTAAAAATAAGATTTTCTTTTTATAGACGGATTATGATCACATTTTGCCTGATACTGTAAATATCTCGTTAAACATATATAAAATCAAAAAAGTACTTCAGGAAATATTAAAGCAGGCTTACATTTATCAGGTAAATATATTATTTCTTGTATAATTTGTAAAATGATCCACACAACTAATACTTGACAAATCTCTGTTCTAATTTAACCTACTTTTCTTCAATGTGTGTCTCTACACCCTTAGAATACCAATCACAGTTTAAGATATGGTATTGGAATTAAACACGAATAATGCTACATTTATGTCTTTTGCTATGTGTACAAAGCACGATAAGTCAGTGTGAATAATCTGAATGTTATTTAACAACTTGTAATACAGAATTCTTTCTCGCAAGGTTCTCCGATCCGTGGTTATTTTGAAATGTCCCCATCCGGCCTCTAGAAAAAAAATTACTCACCCCTGGGGTAGACCGTTGCGGAGCCACGATTCGTTGTAGAGCAGAGGTTTAAAATTGTCAAACATAGCGTTAGTTTATCGTCAAACATTTGAAAAGTTGTGCCTATTCAGAGACACCGTACCGGACTCCATTTTACAATTTGCAAGTTAAGTCTTATTTATATATAAATAAGACGAACATACGGAGAAAGTGATTGTAAAACATAAGAAAATGGAACACAAGTTGGTAGTTTGTGACATATGTGATGTGAGAAACATGGTGATATTTTATATTGAAATTGTTGATTAAATTCTAATTACTTAGGAAACAAGATGATTTCTAATATTAATAACTGAACATTATCTAAAATATTGTAATGCGCTCGCCATTGATTCTAGTTTATTCGAAATCCTAGATACTGCAGACTGGAGCAAATTATTTCTTTACATTTTTACAGAAATTAATATAGTGATGTTAACATTTCAGCGGCGCAATGTCCGAGCACCAATATTGAGTGGGAGAAGTGCCTATGTGCCCCGTACAACGTGGCTAAAGAACTGGTCTGTCTAAAATACTACACAATTTTAACCTTTTCGATCCTGAACTTTTTATTACAAAGACGTCCTTTTATTTCATATAATCACGTTTACACAAATTTCCTCTGCAATAAAATATACAGGGAAGAAGTTTTGGCTTCTAAACCACGTATTTTGCTTATAGTATATACTCATATAACTGGTGTTTAATTTTATTTGATATATATAGTATTACATTTACGATTTGATCAGCAGTCTTTGTTAACTGTTCGTTTCCTTTTAATTCCCATTCTAGAGAAGAAGGGTAAAATCTATGCCCGAAACTCCCGAAAAGACCAACAGCGATGTAACGCTTCAAAGTCAGACACATGTTCATGAAACATACTCGACTCAAAATTATCTACTGTAAATATCTCCTTGAGTTTGACCATCTCCTGGGAAACTTGTTATAATGTAGCCAGAACGAACCTTATGATCCAACTGTGAAGTCGGCAATGAATTACTCCTGGTAATAATAATACCGGGAAGTTTCGCAAAGCAGTAACGCTATACACTTGTAATCAGGAGTTACCAGGTTTGAAAGAAGGTCGGGTTACTGGCCTTTCGGACTGATGCTTCTCGTCATTTTCCTCTGCCCCCAGGCAAATGAGTGAATATAATCTTCACTTAAGCCACGAACACTTCCTTAAACGTCCTTCTGAATCCAATGTATGGCAATCATTCTTTCATTCAATTCTAGATAACGTAACCTAAGAAATCGCCTTTAACTGAAATAAGACACTACATATTAGCAACCTTGAAATTTTCCGTTTTTGTCCCCACTTAAAGCTACGGGTCATAATTTCATATCCAAGCGAATTTTGGTTTGAAATCATATACGTACATTTATTCGAAAAGGATTCCTCAGAACTGTAACGTCTGCGACTTCCGATGTCAGCTGATTTACAAACCGAAACCTAACCAACGGATGAGGTTTATTGAGCCCTGAAAATATGAACGTATAAAAAATTTCTGCGTATTTGTCTGTACATACACACAATTAAGGTGCATAGTCTTATGCAGATATAAGATAAGAAATACAGGGAAATAAACTCTTGTCGGATAGAATATTTCAGGAGAGGTCTATAGTGCTCAGCAGACGTACTTACAGTCGCCAAATAGAATACTATTAATATTTACTCTTTAAACATAATAATTAATAAATTCTCGGCATATGCAGTAATCACAGTTTATATAAAGGGAGGAATGTACGACGGAGAGGACGTGACCTACACTACATATCTAGGAGGCCTGAGGAAAATAACTAAAATCTGGCAATATAGCACGCTTCCAGAGACAAGATTCAAATTCGGAACCTCCCACATGCACCGTAACTTTTGTAAAATACCGCAAACTCTTACATAAAAGTACCAAGGGACTGCTGGGCAGCAGACTTACCAAGGACCTGTGACAAAGCAACATATCTCATTTGTGGCATTAAAAATATGAATTCGGTCGTTTCGATGCTGACTGCCAATCGCGACGCGTTCCTGCTTAAAGAGGGACGCCACCTGAGGACGTCACTAGACGTTACCATGGCTACACAGCGCCGTTTGATACCATCAGATAAAATGACAAATGGAAATCATCTTTCTGAAAGTCAGTGTTTCTCCTATTTGCTTTTGAATTATACTGTCATGTTGTCACGTTGCTATAACAGCTTTAATGGTGATTATTATGCATCGCATATAATTTTGCATTTAGATAGCTTGGCCAAGATATAAAAAGAAGTTCAATAAAAACATTTGTTATAAGATTTTGTGACAGCTGCAGCACAGCGGTGAGAAGCCGGTATATAAAAACTATAAAACAATACTTGCAATAAAACATTGTAAATATTTCAATTAATTTGTGTCAATTCAATTACACAATTTTCCAGTGAAATGTAGAGAAATTACACTAAAACAGCAAAGGACTACTTACTTCCAAAGTCTTCAACATTCGTAACTTAGTCATCCCGCATTCTATACTAAATAATATATAATTAAATCATTCAATAATTAATCATCTGCGTCCGAGACAAAAATGTGACAAATGCAACCTTCAAAGAGTCACATTTCCTATTTAATCAATTTCATGGGATTCATAAGCAATAATAAATAAAAAATTAACAAAAAACTACAACTATCTCACACCCGCCCACTAAACAGTGGCAAACGCTCCAGTCTGGATTGCAGTATACCACCACACCACTAGAACTGGAGGAACACAACAGCAGCATAATAAAAATAACTAAGCATTGTGGTATGACTGTTGGAGAGGATTTAATAATATTGCTGAGGGACTACCCCTTTTTGACTGACTACGTTTATTCAACAAGACTAAAATACACAAAACAATAATTTTGCCTGTTGTTTTGTATGGGTGCGAAACATGGTCTCTCACTCTGAAGGAGCAACTCAGATTGCAGGTGTTTGAGAATCGGGTGTTGAGGATATTTTGGCCTAGGAGAGAAGATGATGGGGCATGGAGAAAACTGCATAATGACGAGCTTAAAAATTTGTACTCCTCCCCCAACATTGTCAGGGTGATTAAGTACAGAAGAATGAGATGGGAGGGGCATGTAACATGCATGGATGAGGAGAGATGTGCACGAGGTATTGGTCGGGAAGCCCGAGGGGATACGATGTTGTGGTGCAAAGCCTTTGTTGAAATGTTGATAGTTCTTCAGATGGTCAATAAATTCCCTGCTTTTATGGGACTTGACGGTTCATTAGTGTGAAAGATTCATGGCTTTTCTTCAGGAAACCTTTTCTCTTTTGGGTGCTGTAAGATAACTGTCTCTTTCTTAGTGCTCTTAAAAACTACAAGTTTTAGTTTCGAGTTTCTTCAGAATTTACCGAGGTCAAAAAGGATGGATGCATGATCAGAATTTTTTTGGAAATGTGTAGGCATCGTGATGGAAAGGATAACAGAAGTTTGACACAATTGATATTTATTTTTAAAAATAAGTTTTATTAATTTGAAGCCATTTCAATCTTCAGTCTCTCTTCCATCAACCTACTTTCCTTGGGGGAAACTACACACTGCTGAAAGAATAGCACTGTTTTAGTATTAAGCACGGCAGCCTCGCATATCTGGTCACGAGCAAATCATAGGCTTCATACCATGACTATATAACGAGGGAGTCTGTTGCAGTGCAGTGGCAGTACTATAAGCACGTTACAGCTAGTTACTAAGAACTCATTACGATGAATGTGTCATAAAAGGTTTTATGCAATATTTTTATGGAACATGAAGAAACTGACAGTGCCAATGACTGCTTGCTATAGTAAAGTTCTTGTTACAGACATTCCTCATTCCGTTATGTTTATACCATATTTTCAATTAGTATTCTAACCTAACTCATAACATTTAGTGGTGACCCCAGAATCTAAAAATAATTCTAGACCAGCACATTTATGATTTGATTTATAAACCACCTTTCAATTCCTTTACCTCCCATATCCCATCTTTCTTTACTAGAAGCCCCTGTTAAAGCTACATGCAGGCTCTCTATACTTCTATGTTTCTACTTTTAACAGTAAACATAACAAGGCTTATGCTATTACCACGGTACATACAAAACAGAATAAATCACATGAAACTGCTGCAATCAATCAAGTATCACACTCTGATAAATAATGTAATTATTCAGAAGACATCATTTATCATGGTGTGGATTCTGAGACGACAATGCCACCTACAAGATTAACTATACAAAAATCATGATGATATTATTAACCCACTGGAATCCTTTGATAGATGCAAGATGTCGGTTCATTAAGGTGATTTTACAGCCTTCATTGTGTGTGTTACAGAGGTTAAGACACTGATCTGTACATTAAAAGTACAGGTTATGTGGCGTTAGACTGTTCAAATACAGATCACCGACTAAAAATACATATTTCCAATTACCTTCTAATTATCCCCCAGTTCCTAACTTTTGGAGGTAGTTCCTAAATATATTTTTTGAATGTCTGATTACTATAATGCCAAAAACTTATGAGAAGACAAGTCAACAATAAGTGCAAGCCAGTGAGTCATCACAAAAAATAAAAAATAAAAAGGTCATATACACTCCTATATATCTTACCTTAAATTTATGTTGTGTGCATCATCTCCTGTGCTTTGTTTTGTTTTTCATATCAAGCTTGCTCAATGTTCTAAACACCTGCTTCCTGAGTTCTTTATGTCGTTTTAACTTCTTAAGTTCTTCTTTCTCCAATTCTTTTTTGTGTTCCTCCATTCGTTTCTTGGTGGCTGCCTTCAGTTGTTTCTGCTTGTGACTGTATGATACCTTGAGCATTTTCATAAGTGAAGCCACCTACATAATTAACAATAAAAAACATTAAAATTATATTAACAAACTGGTATACTCTGACAAGATACAAGATGTCAACTCACTTGCAGGATATTACCACGTGGTTACCTGTTACATCTAGGTTATGGATTCACTTGAACTTCATATGAAGTAGGGGTTATATGGAACTATTCTCCGAAATAACTGGATTGATTTCAAAAGCTAAGCACTGTTTTAAACCTAGATTAATATACTATAAGAGGGGAGGGGAAAAAAATCATACTCCACTCTTTTGTTTCAGTAACCTATGAACCTATTTGATTAATTTCACTCTTTCAAGTGTCGTTTGTGTTGTATTACTTTAAAAATGTAATAAAGTTAACTGCAATAAAACTTAGCTACACCAGACTAAATAGGGGGAGGGTAGTCTGAATGTGGAAATAATCTGGGTTGGGCAAAAAAGCACGTGATAATCATGACAGTTCCTTTCTATTGCACTTCTATCGGAGGAAATTATTCACAATTAAAACACCTTTGGAGGAGTGACATTTGAATTAAGACAAAGTCATAAGGAGAAAAATAATGAATTAAAAAAATAAAGATGTACAAGGTCAGAGAGAGACAAAATACAACTGAATAAACATAACCCAGCACAAATTTGTCCTATGTAAATATGCTAGAATCAATCAAAAGTTAACCAAATTTTAAAAATACAACTTACAGTAATTAAAGTTCAT